ATTTTCAGAAAGGAAATAATGGACTAGAAAGAGCCGTTCAAATTAGTGTTGTAGCTTTCTGGCAAGGGGAGATATTTGATCTCAAAGTTACCAAATATTTGAGTGAATCGAAAAGTGTAAAAACACACTACTTTATTCATCTCTGTTGATTGACAAGCCGTCTATCAAATCGATGGAAACTTGTATCGTACGTTCGTAAAGGATGTACCAGTTTGTATGCAAACCGTCACAGCAATTTTTTAAATATAGTTGCAGTACGAGCTTCTTACATTTTACCTATTTTTGAGGCCACTTTTTAGTGAAAACCTAAAAAAAAACGGGGGGTGGTCTATCTCCCCCCGGAAATAACAAAAGCAGAAACCAGTTTGTCATTTTGAGTTTTGGGGTAGATCCTTCAAACTGGCCAAGTTTCATTGAAATCGGTGAGATGGCATGTATCACGACTGCCAGGTGCTCTCGTGGAAACGTTAAAAAAAGCTGTGTCACTACGCATAATTAACAAAAACACACAGCAGCTTTATATGAGGGTTATAAAGGTTTAATCTATTTCATTTGATTTGTGATCTTTCGATGTTGCTCAGCCTACAATAAAAAAAAAATTAAAAAAAAAAGAAAAAAAATTAAATTGAACAAGAAATCAAGTGCGATAAAACGAGAGATCGACTCGGATACAGACCTTTGAAGCAACTAACACTGCATGATTTTATTTGCCGTTGCGTTTTTGCTTGGTTTTTGTATTATACTTCTCTTGAATTCAAGTTTAAGTTTTCATTATCGCCATTTTCAAGGTTATATAAGGATATAATTTAGGTAACAGCTGGGAGCAGTCTACTGCTACTAAGAGCACTTACTACCTCCTGGCGCGTCATAACTATTGCTACTAATTGTACGATAATATTTTAAATTTGCTTATGTTAAAATTTACTCACAAGCACTACAGGTTTTGCGGCAAACCTTTCTGAAGCTCGGATATTTGATGCAGTAGTGCTTATAACTAGGACAATATGTTTGGTTATCCCGGCAACCTGCAAAAGAAGGGCGAATACCATTGTCATTATCATTTGTTAACTTTTAAGTTTCGTATCCATATCACTTCTTTGGCATTGCCTCACCGAAATTGTGCATGTCTAACCGGTCTTCGTTTTTCTTTCTGGTGTATAACCCAGCAGAGGGGGCAAAAGCGAATCGCATGACTGGAATCAATGTAACAAGCAAAAAAAAAAAAAAGAAAGAAAAAGGAAGAAAGATGACGGGAAAAAAAGGAGATACTCCCAATCGACAGGGCTGCATTCACCTACCAGGCCCAGGTTTCGCTGGAGACGGCTTGGGTGGTGTTGCAGGGGAAGGTGGCGTCACTGGTAAAGGCGGGCTCCCTCCTAAATGGATCGTCAAAAAAAAAAAGAATCGGGTTTTAATTCATACCTCACCTACTGCATCTTTGAGTTTAGTCAGCCATACTTCGTAAAAATGCATCAGACGTTTTCACCCAATTAATTTTTTGCAGATTTTCCCAGCGTAAAATGAGACATCCCTTCTTATCTTTCCTTACCTATTTTATCCATAATCCATGGGATATAACTTGTGATTCTTGCGAACACAGTGTAAGCGGTTGGCAAACATCCCTTTTTGCCAAAACTAACAGCACCATGCAGATACCAAGAGTCACCCTGTTCACATACCAGAGGGCCTCCACTATCGCCATGACATCCAGCTGAACTGCTTTCCTGTCCTTTCCCAGCACATAAGTGAGCTTTGCTCTCAAACCGAGTGTATTTCTTGGCACAATCTTTGTTCGACACTATAGGCATCTGCCCTTGTTGCAGGATGTTCGCTTGTTCGCTTTCTGAAACAAGGCCCCATCCTACCAGTAAAAAAAAGAAAATATAAATAAAAGTAACCTGTGTTCAATATTTCAAGGAAACGAACATGATTATTGTGATCATGAATTCTCGTTTTTCTTTATCTTCTAATGAGCTAAGAAAAGAAAGACATTGGGCGGACTTGACACTATGTAGATAGTCTCTTGAGATGAAACGGATTTTGTTTTAATGTTGTCTTGGTCACATCTCAAGTCTGCCGTGATTACGAACACGACGGACCCTGTCAGCGTTATGCAATTTTTGCTAATCAATCAATAATTAAGTCATCTACTGTTTCTGAAAAAAAAAAAAACCAAACAAAAAAAACACAAACAAACAACAAGCAACAAGTCCTAGAAGACTAACTTGAGAGGTCCCTAATTACAGCCATTTTATCAGGTATGAAAACACATTTTTTTCCAGAAATTAAAACATGCATCTTCTTTCAAACCTGTTACAAAACATTCCGTCCCAGGCTTCGGTTCCTCAGAGGGAAGACAAACTGTTGACACCTCATCACTGATCGTTGCTGAGCCTCGGAGCTCAAGAACAGCAATGTCATGTTTCAGAGTCTCCATGGTAAAGTCCTCATGCATGTGAATGGCTTTAACCCGAAACGCTTTTTCGATGGAAGTAAATCCAAGTCTTTTGTGGGCACCTATACATAAATAACATGCTACTTTTAGGATTGGGAACATGTGGAGACAACAAGATATTGAAATTTATAGCCAGTGACGACATTAATTAATTCGAGAAAGAGTGTGCTGTTGCTTTCAAAAGGAGAATGGGGTAAGGGTAGCACGTAGAACATCTCGCCCCAGGGAACATCTACCCAATGCATATTTTGCGGATTTGTACGTTTTCACGACCTAAATAATAGGGTGTTTGTGTTGTTAAAAAATAAATTTTCTGACAAATGGAGGGAGGATGAGGGGAGGAGGGGAGGGAGGAGGTGGAGGGAGGGAGGAGGGGAGGGAGGAGGTGGAGGAAGGGAGAAGG